GAATGCGCAGATTTGGTCTAGTATTTTCTTAGGGCTGAGTGGAGAATGATTATTCTCCACGGAAGGAAGTGACCTCGCGGAAACGCCCTTCTGCTAGTAGTAATTTTGGTTTCGAAACCAAAAAGCGCTACCGAATCCTTTAAGTCAGGAGTCCTATAGGACCTTGTCGAGATCCTAGTGATTCTTCCTGTTTCAAAAACCTTTAGGAAAAGTCTATAAGTTTCATATACGAAATATTTATAGGTTCCCCATTGGACTTTTTCGTAAAGGTGCGAAAAAGAGCAGAAGAATACCAACAGCATGATCACTTAAACCTATCGGAAAGGTTCAGCTTCCAAAATCATTTAATTCTCTCACTCTGGATTCCAAGAGGATTCCATTGTAGTGACCTTGTCGGGAAATCTCAAAATGGAGAATTTAACCTCATAATATATTTTCTCTCAAGAATTCAGGGAAACGCCCCAAGTCGACGTAACTGTGAAGCCGGACAAACTTCCACAGATGGTGTTGAACCCCAAGAAAAACCGTTCCCGACAGCATTTTCTCTACGGAAGAATCGCCATCGAGGTCTACTATGGTTTTATGCCTTCCCGGAATTGCCTCAACTCCTATTTATCAACTCCCGAATATCGCTAGCGTTAAAATCCTCCAAGGACGTATCGACCCAATGATCTCGAAGACTAAAATGCCAACGCAAATGTACCCTTTCTCGTCGTACCTGGGCCGAGCGATAGCTGTCCGCGCTGAGGGTCGAGAACTTCGAGCACGAAAAAGGGGCTGGACTGCAGAGTGTCACAGCCGGGAAATTGAGGGACTCGGGCATCGTCATCGATATCGTCGTCGACACGGAATATTGCAAGTAGACTGCCACCACATCGCAGATCCCCTGCACGAATGAAGCGTATAAAAATGAAGTTCAATACTCCCCGAGATCGCAATTGCTTCGAGAGCAACATGGAAGATTATTTGATAGGAAACTCACGTAGATGGTAGCGCTAACGGCGACCAAGGTGATGATCCACCAAGCACATTTTCGAACTCGGTTTGTGACTTTCGAAGCATTGTTGATACCATTTATCTGGGTGGTAGCACAGAATTCATGCAACACATTTCTGATTGACGCCCCAAAACTCATGATGCTCACGTCCTCCGACGAATCTGTCGCAGTAGTGTCAATGACTACTGCGTGGTAAGTGTATAAGAGAAAAGCCCTGCTCATCGAGGGGGGATATATCGATCCCGGAGAATTAACTGTCCCGGTAATTACATGCATGTGGCGCTACCTCTTCAAGTACCCCTCATTTGCATGACAAGGGAACTATTTATTACCCTGGTTGACACCCCCAAAATTATAGGTCCGTATAAAAAAGAGATTTATATTGTGTGCGTATTTGTCAAATCAGGAAACCCCTAGAGTTTGAGACGGATGAACAGATTTCCTGAAGTGAAATACAAATCGAAAGCTTATGACCAGCGGGCGATACTTATTGAGCCAAAAGTTCAAAAGGTTCACTGCGAACGTCGTTACTGCCAGTTGCTACCTGTCTGTTGGCGCTTCGGTCACGGGTCGACCCGACCGGGAACTCGATCGCCGACTGAGCTGCTCCGAATCGTGAATCGTCTTGGGCTGGCATCGTCAACCCGCAGACCAACTTAGACCTCTGAGCTTGAGATCTTGTGGTGTCTGATGAAGTACTGAATTTGCCCCTCAATCTACCACAGGGGATGTCGGAATGGCCCCTTTCTGAGACCCGTATTTGAGTGGAGTGACTTGGATTAATCGCGGATGCTGTGAAGGAAGACAAGGTGTCCAAGACTGCCTCTGGCACGGGAAATCGTGAAAGATTGTCATTTTGCGAAATCTAAAACTATTGGAAATACCCTCGACACCAGAAATATATTTATTTATTTATTTATTGATGAATGGATTGTGTGAATTCGATTCTTGACCATCATACGTGGTATACATATACATTTAATATGAAAAGACGATCTTGACTGAGTGATTGTGTGACTGATTTACGCAAATTCTAACCGTCTTTTAGATATGATGGAAGTATGAAATTTGGTGGGTAAGTACCTTTCCAGATGATGAGTCTAGAAAAATTCTGACTTGATAGAAGTGATGACGATCGAAGGCTTATGACTTGAAGGCGGTTCTCTTTGGGTCAATAGCACAAAAAACCTACCATTTTAGGTAATACGGGTAAATTTCGTAAATAAAAATGGGATTGTTCGACTCACTCGACTACAGATAGAATATGAGTGCTCCATCTATCAATAACCATTGCAACGCCACGAAGCCGTCCCACTGTGTCAACATAATTATAGTGTGCATAGGTTCTAAGTCTGACATGAACTCTCCATGAATATGCGTGATTCGGAGAGGAAAACAAACCGTGATACACGGGCTTTCTGCGACGTATATTTTCGCAGGAAATGGCGTTTCGTCACGACATGTTTTCTGAAGGGAATAAATGAATTAATGGGATAATTAATGAAGAGGCAATAAATGGGGCAATTGGGGTATTTACTACGCATCAACTCCCTACGGATCGATCTGATGGATGCAACTGATGCATCCCGTCGGCCGACATCGACTCCAACAATTGCTTGAGATTGCACGAGCTCATACCCGCCCTGAAATTTGTTTGACAAAATTCTCTCTGTGAATATTCATTCCACGCTCTTTAGACTCTAATCGATTTCATTTTATATTGTCACGAGCTTGGGTACCAAATTTCATTATCTTTGAGCTTCTTCTTGGTCGTGCTTTTTTGGCGATACTTCTTTACATTTTTCGCCAATATATTGATTCAATGTTTAAATTTACTCAGTGAACTACTTCCTGCCGAATACTGAGCATGTGTTTCATTTATTACATTTCGTTCTAGAAGGCCTTTTATCGGTCGAAATAATTCAGAACAAGTACCTTCTTGCACTTCCACATATTCAATGTCTCATCACCCATGTATTCACTGCTATAAATGTTGTGCACCTGGGTGTGAAAGGCAGTTCCACTTTCACCCTCATTTTAAAGGTATTTCAACACTCTTCTCTGCTTAATCTGAACCGGTTCAGTACACTCCATAGGCGCCGATCCATAAGTCAGTTCATGAAACAACTGAACAATACCCCAAGATTCTGCATAGTGTCATGTCCCTTATAGAACTCTAACAATAAACTGCTGCCAACAACTTTGAGTCCATCCTTTGAACTAAAACTCAAATTTAAATATTTTACTGTGAGTTCAAGAGTCTCTGTAACCTCTACTTTTCAGTTCAGTTGGAACCTGAATTGCACCTGGAATTGGTGGAAAGAAAGGCCTGCCCTTTTCTGGTACAGATTCAGGCAGTTGTGGTAACAATATGTATGTCCTCCCAGCAAAATCATTCCCAGAGCTTCTGAAAACGTACATTCAGTCGGAAGCGAAGTTCAACCTTGTCAAGTCTCATCCCGCGGGTGAAACCAAAGGAAAAACGAGGAATGCGCGGCCATCTAGACGAAAAGACGTCATTGAATGCCTCTCTTTAGAAGTTCATGGCAAGGCTTCATGGTGAGTTCTTCTCTTTTTTACATTTACAATATATATTTTACCCCGGTTACAAGTATTAATACTTCCCGTTTGTAGGACGGCATGCACAAATGCACGAGAAATTATCTCATGATTCACGCGTCAGTGTCACATAACAAGGTAAACAGTACCAGCAGTACAGTACCAGCAGTACAGTACCAGCAGTACAGTACCAGCAGTACAGTACCAGCAGTACAGTACCAGCAGTACAGTACCAGCAGTACCAGCTGGTCTTACTTGGTTTTTGAAGGCATTTTCCAGCAGGTTGCTTGCCGTGCAGGAAACGTCACGGGTGCCAATTGGGAATTAGAATATTGCCATTTCCCGACTGGAAAAGCAGAGATCCAGCCGAATAAAACATGGAATTCTTGGTGGATCCGATTCACAAATAGTCCGGTTTGAAATGCAGCAGTTCCCTTCCCCAGGAAATCCCTTCAAATTTGAATAAAAGCAATTATTCCCATTTCTGGAAGTGAAACCGATTTTTTAAATGTGAATATCATCAACATCGGTTTAAGGTCAAAACTGGACAAACCTATACTGAACTATTTATAACACAACTTTTGCGGTGAGGGGAAAAGAGGCTATATATTTTGGTTTGTCAAATAATACTCGAATAATATATGCATGTCAAAACCAGTTTAAGGGCAAAAATCGAAGAAACGACTTTGCTGGAGCGACTTCAGGTTTTGAGGGCAAGAAGCTTGCCCAATTTCGTTCTTGCAGATACAGAGAGCAATATGAGGAGTGAAAATTTTGCGGAAATGGAAAGGCGCCATTCATGCTGCTTCATCAAGAGAAGGAAAAGAAATTGACGAAAATTGTCGCTTTTCTCTCTAAGGCGCGGGGACGTGATGGCTCTCGGATTTCTCACCCTGTTCAGAAAATACGACACGATGGAGGAAAAACTGATTTGATCAGAACTCCTTTCGAGAAGGAATCATTCCAGCGCCATCAACATATTTCGGAAATAACATTTCCATATCTGAAATTAGAGGTTTAAATCCTTTGTTAAACAGGGAATTCTAAGGTAATACTCTTTCTTTTTGCTGTACGTGTCCTGATCCAATTACTAGAAGGGGGAAAAACGTAGGACTTCGTATCATTTCTTCGCATTGATGAGAGAATTCGAGATATGACTCTGCAATTTCGATTGGCAATTTGGCAACCTTGCCAGGAACATCATCTGCTCTGCCCAGTTGGAAAAGCAAAAAAAAAAATTCCTGGGAATTGCTTGCCACCAGATGAAATGAGTAACACGACATCGATCGCAGTTGGAGAGAGCGAGTTTTCCTCCTCCGGATCTGGTCGGATTCCCTCCCGGATCTGCAGGAAAAAAAAAACCGGAATTGCGTCCTTGCCTCTGAAATTTCCTACCACGTGTCGATCGTGTCAAGGCCGATCGCGCTGCATAAAATCAGCTGCGCGCGTCGTTCAACACCGCAGACGAGACGTTTTCGGGCATGGGGCTCTCCGTCGTCGGTCTGGTTCTCCTCGTTGGCTCTGCATGCGTCCAGGTTTTTTTTTTTTTGCGTTTGCACGATTCTTTCGAAATTTTCCTTTAAAGCATGGAATTATGAGTAGTTGCCCTTTACGTGGCCCTAACTTAAATTTTCCCTTTCGAATTGAAACAAGTTTTATTTAACTGAATTAGACAATTGAAATGGTCCGAGCAGTGAGACCTGCACTCCCCTAGGATCAAAGTAGCAAGAGCGCAGAAATGAACTTCTTTAATGGCTCAGTTTCCCCCAAAGAGTGTCAGTTCTTGAAAAGGAAATGGAATATCGTGCCAGGGCGAGGCGGAGAGGAGGAAAGCGGAATTCCCTTCCATGGGCAATCCAGGTAAGGTCCCCTTCTCTTTCTTCTCGTCTCAACTCGTTTCGACTTTACCTACCGTACTCAAACAACATATATATTTTTTATTTATAGGGAAATAAATACAACAGATCATAGACGGGACTAGTTTGTATCGAATCTCTTCTCGTCCGTCGGGAAGTCTCTTATTTTTATGCGTATTCTAGATCTGCATCATGCTTATATCCTACTAAATACGAGGTGGTTTTAAAGTCCTGCGGAGTGCTCGCGGTGCCATTGTGACCAACGTAGATGGAGTTGTATCACTAAACTTGCTCAGATACTAACATGGGGTGGCCATTGGCATAATAAAAGTGGAGATGGCGTTCCTATCATCCCAAGTGGCAGAATCACCTCTTGGATCGCAAGCGGTAATGCTGCCACTTGCCATAATATTGCAGGACGAGGCTAACCTTTTGCATCAGCATTTTGGACCATCATTTTCCTGCTCTCTGAGGAATGTGTGTCCAAGCCAAATGGTCTGGCTTCATATTGCGCTTCTGGTGATTGTGTGGCCACTTGGGACGATTGGGGCGCATTCTTCACTTTAACGATGCATATGGCCTTGCCATGTTATTATCTGTGCCAGTTTGGTAACCAGACTCCATCTGCTTTGGTCGCTACGGCGCGGTAAACTCCCCGGAGGACTTTACAACAACCCTGTATATCCGACTACTTTGACGGTTGAGGAAAATAACCCAGCAGGTTACATCTAGAACGCATGAGATACATCTAGAACGCATGAGATTTGGTTCCCCGCAGAGAAACGCCAGACGCCACCGTGCGGGGCGAACTACGGACTCTTCTTGGGGCAGTATTACCCGCTGGTTAGCGCGAATTATCCCAACAACATCCCGGTCCCGCATTCCTGCTCCTGGATGTTTTCGGTGACGTTTCGCTCTTTGGTTTCTCTTTTTTGGCGAGGCCTCAGTGGGGTTTGGGTTCTTTTAATTTCTGGACTTGTTGGTGCTTTGCAGTGCCCCGTGGAAATGACGCTTCAATGCTCCAATTTTCAACTTCCATTGAACCTACTCTGTTTGTGGACCGGCTTCACTTACAACGGGAAAACGTGAGAATTGACTCCCCAGCTCATGGAACCAATGGAATGGCCAACCGTTGGAACCAATGGAATGGCCAACCGTTGGAACCAATGGAATGGCCAACCGATGGAACCAATGGAATGGCCAATCATGAGAGCAAATCATGTAAATACATAATCGAACTTTTTTTCTTTAGAATGTGTGGATCGAGCACTGCTCTTCAAAGCCCAGTGAATGTGGGAAGAACCCTGAACGCCCGCCTTTACGCCTCTGTTTACACTGGAAAAGGATTCACGTGCACTGTCACCTGCGGTCAGGATATTTCTGTCTTGCACGCAGGGTGAACACGAAGTGTTAGGAGTCTGTCGATGCCATCGAAATATTTAAAGACTAGTATACCCGCGTCAAGAGGTTGTGCCGTTTCACTCGAGTGTCTCCCTTGGAATATGCTTGATAATTCTTGCGATGAGACGCAATTATCGCCACGCTTCAAGTTTAGCTCCATGCTTCTAGAATGGCTCCACGCTCCAAATAAGGCTCCGTGCTCCAAGCATGGCTCAAGCCCGTCATCAAAGCTGTACTCAGCAGCCATTTATATAGCACTAGAGCAAAGCTCTGAAGCTCGTTTCGGTGTGCAGGCCGCAAAGCTAAGATCGAACAGCTTTGGGGGCCACGGTGTAATATCGCTGCCACGAGTTTGGGACCCATGCAGTAGAGGAAGTGAGTTACCGAAAGCACTGGGCGTCGCTCATTAGAGAAACAGAAAGAGGGAAATCTCACAAGAGACATTCAAATACAGTGGTACCTCGCATAACGAACGCAATTCGTTCCAGCGGTGCGTTCGTTATGCGAGGTGTTCGCGAGTGAAAGTGAAACATTTTTTCCTAATTTCCTTGATTTTTCGCGGCGACGTGGAACGGATAACATGATTTCCCATAGAAGTCTATGGGAAATCGTGTTTCGCATAACGAACACCTCGCATAACAAACGCACCACTGGAACGAATTGCGTTCGTTATGCGAGGTACCACTGTAGTTTCTACCAGAAGTAGAGATATTGCTGCTAATTGTCCACCTGGCTATGGCTTCGTATTCACCCTATTAAAAAAAATGTTTATGGACTCAGACTTACTTCCCATTTTTCATTTCAGGTTCACGAGCTTCTTGCAGTAAGTTGGAGAGAAAAAAAAAAGGTGAAATCGCATGTAATGATTTCATTGAGCAGCTCTTTCAGGAATTTCCCGATTCCCTCCCGACATCTTCAGATTGCGGAGTCTCCCAATACCCGAGGAAGAGAGTCGAATCCTCTCCCCCTGTGAACTCGACGGAATCAGGCGACGAGAATCCGCCCGGGAACTCGACGGACGTGGACCGGATCGTCGGGGGAAGCGTCGTGCCGAGCCAGAGGAAATATCCCTGGATGGTTTGGTACAGGACGAGTTCGGTGGCGTTCTGGTGTGGGGGGACCCTCATCGGCGATCGATACGTTCTGACGGCCAGCCACTGCGTCCATGATGCGTGAGTTTCGACAAGCATCTTCTACGAAAGGTGAAAGGAATTCGAGGAAGGATCGCTGCATCCCTTGGATTTTCGTTCCCACGATTTTTGTTTGTCATTTAGACCGACCTAGGAGGCGAGGTATTCTTCAGTAGGAACGAATATGGTAAAGACGGTTGCATCTGTAGCGAAAATCCAAGTTTTCTTTCACTTCTTTGACTTTAGGCCATCCGCAACCTATTACGTGACACTCGGAGACTTGGATCGAAATACGCCGTTCGAGAGCGGATCCATAGTGATCCCAGCCCAGGCCATCGAACATCCCCAGTTCGTGATAAAGAAATCCGGGAACAGCCTGCTGGCCATCAACAACGACATCGCCCTGCTGAAGCTCTCTCGCCCGGTGGACTTCCAAGCCTACCCGCACATCCGGCCGATCTGTCTTTCCATGTTTGCCCTGCCGTTCACGGGGCAGACGGTGGTGGATGCCGGGTGGGGAGCCACGACGCCATGGGGTCAATGGAGATGCACGTCAGAGATACAATTACAATGAATTATTAATTAATTAATAATATTGTGTTTCTCGGGAATTTCAGAGGGGGCTAATGGAATCACAACGGCACGTTTGATGGAGGTGACGGTTAATGTCGTCAGCGATGCAGTCTGCAAAAATAACTACCCGACTTTGTTCAATACCAACTTTTTCTGCACCCAGGGAGATGGAAAGAATACCTGCAACGTTAGTACGATGACGAGCATCGTGAGAAATTCGCAGAGCCTCGGGTTCGGACTCATTTCGCTTGCGTGATTCGTTTCGCAGGGGGATTCCGGAGGACCCGTGATGTACAAAACTCCATCCGGATATTATCAGAACATCGGCGTCACCTCGTTCTCGAAGAGCTGCTCCCCGAACTACGGCGCCGCATTCGCGAAAACGGCGAGTGAGTCCCCGTGATAGCCTCTTTTATGGTCGCGTCCCATTCAAGCATTTCATCCGAATCTTCTTTTCAGTTTACGTGAACAGCTTCATCGGGGCGTACACGAACGACGCTCGGTGGTGTCCGCCCCCAGGATATTAGTTCCACCTCTGGCAACTCCGTTCCATGCTCGTTGCAATGCTTGTTGCCATTTCGTTGTCGCATCCTCTTGGATTGCGTCGTCGGTGGCAAATTTTCGAAGGATTCAACGTCTGATGCGCTGGCGATTTCACTTTGAGTTTGTGCGTGTTTCAGTTTTTCACGAAGTTCGTTTGAATTTTCGAGGTTCCGGCGGAATTCCTGCTGCATTCGCTTTCCATATTGATTAAATTCCACGAAGAAAGTTGTTTTCGTCGCAGATCGCCAATTTTATTCGATCATACCAAGTCGTACCACCGAAATTGTCTTCATTCGTCAACACCCGGTTTCCGAGTCAATGAGACAAATGACGGGGAGGGGGGTAGAAACCAACCTGGAATTGCCACAACCCCAACTTCAATCGATCTCAGATGAAGTACCAGAAGCAACTCATTAAAAACAATCAAAACAGAGTCATTCCATGACGAATCGCCCCCAAAATTCCCAAATTAACACACTATCATCTAAGGTTCTTATGAAATTTATTATGAAAGGTTATGTCCGAAAACTCGGAAATGTAACATTTCAGCCATTCAAGCATGATAGCAAAATTAGATGCTATGTACAACCCGAACTTTTGCATTTCGTTTATTTGCCATATATTTAGCGTATTCGATGAAGAAATGAATCTGCAACGTCATCTGGCATTTGGGAATTACGATGGCGCTCCCACGTGGAGCGAGCGCATTTTCATCCTTTGCGATCTGGTCGGACTCCCTTCTGAATCGATAGAAAAAAACAAGGCGCAAATGCATGTTTCGCCATTTGACACTTCTCAGCTGATGGGAATCTCTCCCTCGTGATCAGAATTGCAGGAACCATTCCAAGACTATGGGAATGATGAAACTTAAGAATAAGAAAAACGACCATCCCATCTAAAGGGCGTCTCGAGAACCTCCTCAAGAACTTCCAGAGTATGGAGCTTTGATTTACGTTGGAAACACTTCAAAAATTGTTTCCTTTTAAGTCTTGTTGTCATGTTGAAAATATTATGAATTGCAGTCATGAGGTGTTTTTTTTTCGCGCATGACGCAGAAGCAGTCTCAGCACAGCCCAAAAGATTTATTTCCTTTGACGCTATGATGACGGTTTTGTGGCTATGTCCCTGGTCACGGTATCAATATCTATTCCCTATCTTCGACCAAATACATGAGCAAAATGTCATGCTTCTTGTTTTCCTCTCTGAGAGCATCTAGAAAAAGGAATTGGGGCATACATCTTACAGTCTCAATAGAGAGATTATCCATTCTTGAAGCTCCGACTCCAGAGGATGTGAAGAACACTGAATCGTGATTTAAAAAAAAAATAGGGTAAAGGTATCAGTTTGCGGAAGGGTTAAGGAAATTTTTAATTTGGAAATAGTACTGCGGTCGTTGGATTCATCGTATATCTGCTGGTTTGATTTCAATTTGAATTCAATTATCATAGCTGTATAACCACAATATAAAAATGTTATGTATGAAATTAAGTACGATTGCATACCTTTCCAACAATATGTATTTAACAACTACATGTGGATTATTGTGGACAACCTGGTGCAGTTCGTGGACGCTCACGGAACCAATTTGTGGACGACACCAGTTTCTTGCCGATCACGAACATGGGTCGGCCTTATGAGACGATATAACCATGGAATACGTGCAAAACTTTGATTCATCGACGCGAAAACGAAAAAAAAAAATCATTCTTCACCCATATTTCGGCATGCACTGCACTCTAATGAAGACCAAGAAGACCTTCATCTGATCGCTCAAAAATCGTTTCATTCATAAATTCAGACTAAAAGTTTCTCTTTTGTTGCCAAAACCCTTTCCTTTCCGATGATCTTGGGCCTCTTCATTGAAATATGAAGCGTCTGCTTTCTTAATAATTTAATATATCTTTCTTCTAGGAAGGATTTTAGTTGACGGCCTATTTGCTCCTCAATTATCAAGATACTTCTTTGCCAACAAAGCTTTTTGTCGTCAGTTGAACATCAAACCCTGAAAAAAAAAAATTCTCTTGTTCAATTTGCCTTAGCTTGCTGGCCCCAATCCCGCCACACAGAGTTGCCGGTTATCGTGCTGGAATTATGTCAAATGCACGACTGTTGCGGCATTCGTATCTCCTTCTGTTTTCTTCTTTTTTTATGCATGAGACAATTTTGTGCCGAGTTCCTAGGATGAACCGAGATCGAAACAGCGGCTGGGAGCGGCCAATCGACGTGGTAGGATATGATGATATCGTGCACAGCGTCAAAACGGGATGCATTTTATTTTACCACTGCAATACAATGCCTCACCTTTTTCTGAATAGCTTTTCATGAGTTGAAGCCTGAGTTTCGCCCCATTGGCGAAGACCTTGACCTTGACACGATCCACCTTGTAAATCTTGAAACCATCTGCTTCATCTCCCGATGAGATCTCATTTCATTGTTCGAAAGAACGAATTCGAAATGTAACTATCCAAGGTCGGTTGCCCTTTAGGCAGAACTAGATGCGCACAATCCGCTTTGCCCAACTTTAAATTCCTCAAATGCATCAACTTCTTACTTGCACCAAACCCGACACGCCGCTCCAATTCAAAGTGGAGGTAGCACACTTTCCTCGTTTGGGATCTGGTCGCTTTCAGACCCGAATATGCAGAAACACAGAACACATGTGCATATTTCATCTCTGACGTTTCCCAGCACGTGGCGCTCATTTCAAGCCCGATCGTGGGGCATAATGGCAGCTGCAAACAGTTCATTTCGAGACGTGTTCGAGAATGGGACTCTCTCTTTGCGTTCTTGGTTCTCCTTATGCTTCGCTCGGGCATCGTCCAGGCAATCTCCAATCACTTCACATCTCATTTGCACTTCCTGCTTGCATTTTCTCTATTGAAACATTTTTGTTTCTGAAGTGGAGCATGTTGGTTTTTTGCACAATGGCGCAAGATTCCGTGACGGAATCCCATGTCTTTTATTTGTAGCAACATTACGCAACCCTCAGGAAAATTTCACTTTCGTATAGCATGAAGTGCTTTTGAACATAATTTGACGAGTCAATCATTTCAACAACGGGCACTTCGGCATTGGTGGCAATTGGCAGCAACGGGAGGCGGGGCAACATGCTCGCGATGGATCCATCCAGAATCAAGGAAACGAGAATGCGAAGCCAGAAATAAATATTCAAAAAGATTCAGTTTGTACCAAAATAATTTCCCTTTCATGTATAGCATTTTAAGCGCGGCTCTCTACTGTATAATGCCATTGTGATTTCAATATCCTTCCCCTTGTACATTGGGACAAGGAGCGCATGTTTCTCTTCATTGTTCCTTGGGAATGAAATTTTATCCACTGAAGTCGGTTCTAACTATTTTTGTGGCGGTGTTTGAAGCCATTTCTTGTAATAAAGATACTTCGTGACACGCTAAATACTTTTTTTTAGGCGACTTCAAATTTTCGATCACGAGGAATTTTTCCCCCTGCCGACTCTGGAGAAGGCTCACCTTTTCGCGTATTCAGATTCTGGTTGGGATCCTGCATATCTACTTGGATGCGTTTATACAAGTACAGACGGGATTCTAAGAGTCTCATGAGTTCGGTTGAGACCAGGGACTATCAATTCAACGCAATTCAATTTCAACAATTTACTGGCGTACGTATCACTGAATTAAAAAGCTTTCACCATCCCACCAAGGTTCGAAACTCCTTCTTCCACGAAGGGACTTGGGATAATAAGCGATTCCGTGTCAGTGGTGATCGGAGAACCATTTCCTGCCGGGTTGAATTCATCGAAAGCGTGATTTGGCCGCCAGCGATATTTATGGTATTTAGTGGAGGGAGATCGGGTATGTTCTCGCATTTTTCGCCCTTACACAGCAGAATGGGGGAAAATCCCATTCACGTGGAACACTTGGCTCTGCAATAACATTGTTTTTCCTAAATGAAACCTCAAAAATTAATACGAACCTCGTTATTTGTGAAATAGTTATATCAGATATCCCTCAGCTTTCATGAGTGGGAAAAGTAACCCGGCCCGGAACCGTACACGGAGCTCGAATTAGACTTTTTCCTACAGATAAACGACTGAAACCGTGGTGTGTGGGGTGAACGCCGAAAAAAAAAAACTCACATACGTGCTTAACGCTTTGGCTGATGCAGAGGAACCCGTTATTTTAAAATCCTTTCGGATCGGTTCGCCTTCAGAGCGAAAAGGAACTGGATGGATGGACATCGACTTGGAATACCCTAATGCAAAGCGAATGGGGGAGACTCGGCGGCAGAGTGAAGGAAGGGGATCGGGAAGCTTTCTCAGCGACACGCTGAGAAAGCGTCGATGAGAAAGCTTCCTTCCTCCAAGCACCTCAAGGTCATGCGGGCGCTTCATGCTCGCCGAATGTGAGTTCCGCGCGTGGGCGGATGAAGTTCGATGGGAACAGCTTAACCCTTTCAGGACCAAGGGACGTATTTGTCCCATATTTTCAAAATCCTCCCAAATTTGAATGAATTAGTCTAGGGCGATGCTTTTTGCGAATAAGGAATCAGTATGTCATGGACTTTCAAAATTATGGCAGGTTTTGTGAATATATGAATTTCTGTCGTCACCAGACAAAATTATCTTTTAAGCAAAATTATCTTTTCCAAACGGGTCTGGAAATGTGAATTTTGATTTTTTTGTTTTGAAAAACCGATGCAGCCGAAAAAAAATTGTCTGTGGGTTTGCCTTCGTATGTCCTTACTGTAACATATTTTCTCATTTCGACACTCATTTGTCTATTATTTTTCGAAAAAAATGTATTTTTTTTGTTGTTGTGGGACATATTTGTCCCACGCTATATCTCGAGAACTATGGGAGATATAGCCTCCAAACAAAGTTTTTTGGAATCTACACGTCATTTTCACCCTAAACACGTCATTAAAGTTAAGGTCGCTGTCCCACAATGCTTATGGTCCTGAAAGGGTTAAGGCCCACGCTCGTTCCTTCGACGTTCGTTTGCTTCGCATGAGGTGCTAAAAATTCGACAGATTTTAAAATTTTCTTTCTTGCCTGACTTCTGGCACAGGGAGCAGCAGGTGATCGTGCTCGAGGGGTTCATTGATTCGCCTTTGCAAACTTCAAATTAGCCGCTTGTTCGCCAAAGCAGACTAGCCGATTGTACCAGAGACCTGGCAACTATAACTAGATTGGACATGACAGTCGAAGATCTCACGTCGATGTGAAAGGGCCGGCAGCCATCACTGAAGAGCCGGCAGCCATCAC